GGGGGGCGGGGGGGGGGGTCCCTGCCGCTGCCGCCTTTCCTGGGGAGCGGGCTTTGTCCTCTGCTAGCCGGACCCGTGTCTGGCCCCGCTCCGGGAAGCGGCCACCCCCTGGGCGGAAGTCTTATTACTTAGCCCTGGGCTGGGGGTGTGTTTAAGGCTCGGGGCGGTCTGAGGAAGGCTCGGAGTGGGCATGGGGCTGGGACCATTTCCCTCCTCTCCCATGTGTCTGTAACAATCTCCTTGACACCTACACACGACAACAAAAACCCTTTCTAAAGCAGTATCTAACTGTTGCTCTGATTTGACTGCTTCCTCCGCCAGTGAGGGGGCCTACTCCTCCCCTTCCTAAAGGCAAGGAAATAATTCTGTTCTAAACGTTCCAAGGACGAAGGAATTTAGGAGCCTTTTTAAGATAGATTATGGTGTTTAGATACGAAAGTGAGACTTGCCTTGGTTTATCTGTGGTTGTCTCCCTTCTTCTAAACCTGAATACTCTTACATCTTTGTTCTCACTACAGATATTTATTTACTTGTATGAAGAGAGGAAAAGAGAAACTTCAGTTCTCTCTCTAATGCTAGTCTTATTTTAGATTGTAATATCCAACATCAGTGTTACAGCTTGTGAGTGAAGAACGGTACTAAGAGGAAACTACAAACAACCAAACATCTTTCTTTGCTATTTTACTTCACTCGCTTCTGATCACTTGCAGATAATTAAAAACATGTATACTACAGGATTCATGCTTAGGAGAAGAAAGAAAATTGTAAGCACAAGTTACCTCTTGCCATTATATCCAAATACCATAATGTTCATTGAGCAATTCACAATATGTTCTTCTAGCCTTCACACAATCTGACTTCTTATACATCATGCAATGCTTTTCATTTTGAAGCTGGCCTTCTGTTAGATGTCAGTCTGATGTGAATCATTCTGTTTTGTTTCAAAAAAAGTCATGTTGATTCTGTTGTTAGTTTTAGAATCAGTGTGAGCTCTACCATAGACAAGGCTCTTGAGTACTTAAGCATGTTTGCCAGTGATGAATAGCTTTCACAGATATAGTAGTACAAATGTTGGAAATGATCTGAACTTTCTCTCAATTAGGGCTGCCACTGTTTCAGATGAGTTGAGAATGGTACAGATGGAAAAAAGCTTCATAAAATTCCTTTCCTAGAAGGTGTCCCAGAAATAGGAGTATGGAGAACTTGGGTTTGATGTTAGCATAATCAAAAAGGGAGTGGTGCTTTCAAACAAGAGAATTTTCTGTTGAGTAAGGAGGCAGAAAATAATTTAGAACAGTGTGCTTAAAGTGTTCTCCTTATGCACAATCATTTTCTTTATCCATTCCTTTCACATTCTCCTATACTATGTGTGTAACTTTATATATAAACGGTAACTGGTTTTGAAGACTTTTGTGATATAATGTTTGTGTGCCATTGTTCATGTTTCTTATGGAGTATGAAGGCAGCTTGGACTTGAGTGTTAAGTTTGTAATTAGAATGCTACAAATAAGCACATTTCTTTGCTTTCCTTAAAAATGACTTTCTGATGGGGAAGCAAAAAGAAGCTGCAAGAGGATTAAGAGTCCAACAAAGATCTTGGAACTTCAGACATGATTAAGGAATCTCTCTCTTACTGGCAGTAGTTGTAAACTATTCAAGCTTTTTATCCTACAAACTAAGAAGGAACTAGACAAGGGGATTGTTTTTATTGGAAGGCATTCTGACTGGTGATGGGAGCCAAACTACATATGAAAACAAAGATTCCTCATATATAGAAAGGAAAATATCTGAATCAGACAGCTGATACTGTTTATGTTGGCATACTGTGAATGAGACTCCAGCAACTTCTGTACACCCTCCTCTTCCTTTATCTCCTTAGAGCTTACATCTTTCAACAACATGAGAATTTCTTGCTTGAGATCAGGAATGTCATCCAATTCCACAAAATTCTGGGCAGCTTCTGGCCTTGTGTGGCACCAAACGCCGTTCGTATGTTGTGAAGTGATCTCTTCCTACAATGTGTCCATGTTTTCCATGTTGCTAAAGATGGATGACAAAAATAGGACCTTGACATTTGGGCAGAGGACTTCATAGTTCACTATGTGGACACTTGAGTTATCCAGCAGGAGACTTGTAAAGGCAAAATTTTTAAGTCTTATAGTCAGAAGGAAGTTCAGGAACAACAGGGTTTGTAAACCACTCAGGGAATATATTGCATGTCATCTAGACCTTTCTGTTTGATTTCCATATTGTGGCAAGATGAGACTTAGTGTAGTCCCTTGCCGCTCTTGGGTTTTCACTGTGGTAGACAAGCAAGGTCTTCAACTTGTAATTGCTTTTCCCCCAAGCAGAACGGTTAAGTGATCTTTCGAGGCTATGAATCCAGGATCAGTCTTCTCATACATTTTTGGCATCTTCTTCCAGTAAAGCCCATCTTGTCAATGTTAAAAACTTGTTCTGGAGAGTAGCCACCTTCTGAAACATGCAGCTAAACACACGTAGGAAACATTTCAGTTGCTGCTTTATCTGCACTAGCCACTTCTATGAGTTTTACATTATGTAGATTGGCATGCCTCTGAAATTTGTAAAAGCGGCGAGGAGTCCTGTGGCACCTTTATAGACTAACTGAAGTGTTGGAGCATAAGCTTTCATGGGCAAAGACCCACTTCGTCAGATGCATGCACCTTATAGACTAACACTTCAGTTAGTCTATAAGGTGCCACAGGACTCCTCGCCACTTTTGCAGATTCAGCTACCCCTCTGATACTCTGAAATTTGTGGAACCACCCACAGCTAACATTGTTCTACAGAAAAGCTGTTATACAGGCTTTTGGTCTTTTCCTGAATCAAGCTTAAAATCACAAGTGCATTCTTTTCATTGAGGTCTTCAATCCAGTCAGCCAGCAATCGTCCCATCATCTACATTACACTGCTACTGTTTCATTATCTTCATTGATGACAAATTTGTAGCGTTCCTCAGCAGAGAATTGCTCCTCCCCCAGGCAGGCAGCTCTGTGCGCATCAGCCCTGGGCAGGGCTCATTAAGCAGCTGCAAAGCCGTGCTGCCGCTTAGAGGGAACCTTGTTGGAGACCCAAACCCCAAATATCAGATGTTGATGTTGAAGGATGAATTGAGCGGGCTTCAGATTTGCATTGTGCTTTAAATTTTTTTCTGAAACACTTCACAGTTGCATACAATCTGACCTGCAACAACTTCTGCAGACGGAGAAGGTTTCAGGCACCTGGCACGTGTTATGCTGCAAAACAGTTTGCAGTAAGAAGTTATGTATGATAATTGATTTAAAAATACATTATTTTTAACATATTTAAGGTACTGGTATAAGACTAATCTTTAATTGCTGATGAATCTTGTTACTCATTGCTTAGAAAAGCTTGCAACCTTTTTCCATGTCTTTCAAATAATTATTTTTGGGAAAATCAGAAATACAAATATTTTGGGTGAGGTGAATTGTTTAGTACCTTTTAAAACCTTTACTGTTGTATGGGGGGGAGATGTCAGTCAATGTTTTGCTCTGGTTTTCTGTGTTTGTAAAGGTAGTGAGAGGAATCATTGCTAACCAAACACATGCATTTTGGGAGTTAAGCAACACTGCAGTGCTTAGCTGACTGCGGGCAGTATCTTCACCCAAATACTTCAGAGGTGGAAACCAACAGAAAGTTTAGCATTTGCCTTTGGTGTGTTCTTGATGGAATGAGCAGAAAAAGATCAAATAATAAAGGGAAGCAGTATGCACTAGTGACTACAGTAGGACAGGTAGGTAGATTCCTGACTGGCACTGACTAATGTGACTTTAAGTCACATAGGGCAAGTTTTCCACAAGTATTTAGGCCCCATAAATATGCAAATAGGTGCCTACTGACATTTTCAAAAGTACTTATTCTGCATATTTGGGTCCCTAAAATTGTCCCTTAACCTTGGTTTCAGTTTTCCCCTCTGTAAAGTGAGATGAATATTTAAGTAAGGTATTTCCAGATTCTGAGAAGAAATATGAGCATAAGTGTTGTGACACTTCCTGCGGGTACTCAAGGTTTTGAGGCATCTACTACTTGCCCTTAGTGTGAAGAAGCTTCTGTCTGTGCCTGCTGTCCATCAGCTCTATGACTCCACTGGTTACAGACAATACGAGTACTCCTCTTAACCAAAACAGGTTCTGCTGTCCCTCTGCAATTACACCTTATATTGAAGTCTGCTTAACATACAGCACTTAAATAAACTTTTGCTTGTTTTTCACTAGAAGAATATTCAAGAATGAGTAGAGATTCAAACGCTAACAAATAGATATAGAATAAAATCATAACTCATATTCTTGAAGCTAGACTTGTTTACCTAATTACAGTCCTGTCTCAGGGAAAAGCTCACCCAAAATCCTTCCAGCTTATTACACCTAGGCTTGGCTGTGATCTTCCATAGTGTGACTTGTCAATCGGCTTTCCTGGGGTTTCCTTGTCTCAGGTATACTTCAATACATGTTCTTTACTCAGACAGGATCCCCCTCCTACTGTTTTATTTATTCCTGTAAATTTTCTCTTGGTTTGCGGCCCGTGGGGCTCAACACGTGGCCTGCAGGTGGAATCCTTTGATCATGGCCTCCACTGGGAGCAGGCTCCACAATAGTGAGGAGTCTCCCAGGCAGGATGAGCATTAAAAGATGCAAGCAGATGGGTTGTCTGGAACAGATGGGTACAGGGTGGCAGCGTTTCTAGCCCTCAGGGAGGAGGTGCTGGGAGTATCAGGGCATTGTGGGAAGTGCTTTGTATTCACGCCCATCAGTGTGAGAGGAGCTGTTTGCATATATATTTGCATGTCTATGCAACCACACTTAAGTTGCAACCCTTGGCATGTGCTGTGAGTATTATTGTGGCTCCCAGGGCTTCCAAAGTTGAGTAGCCCTGCCGTAGCGGGTGACACCATTAGAAATGATCATTCTATAGATTGACATTTCCCTTACCTTTCTACCACTATCTTGCCTATAGAATTACAGGCAGTCCCCGGGTTACGTACAAGATAGGGACTGTTGTGGTTTGTTCTTAAGTTGAATTTGTATGTAAGTCGGAACTGGTACATATTGTAGGGGAAACTCTAGCCAAACATTTTTTTTAGTTTTGGATAGCATAGGGAAAGGTTAACTCCCCTCTAATGTTTGTTTTGCTGTCTGTTCCCCTGTTCAGAAGATTTCACATCTATTTCTGTCCCTGTGACAAACTCAGGACTAAAAGAGTAACTCATCAAATACCAAACAGCTCTGCACCATGCTTTGAGCTAATAGCTTTATTTCCACACACCACCCAGGGTTCTAGGAGGAGGGTCCTTTTTTTGCTAACACAATGAGGCCAGCACTTTGTTTGTTTTGGTGGAGTCTTTGTTTGCCCAGGGAGCCCAGCATGTATAGGGGGAGGAGGGGCGGAGAGGCTGCTTTTGTCTGCTGTTCGGCAGCCTGTTGCTCAGGGGAGGGGGCAGCAGGCGTGGGGAGGCACTTTTCCTCTGCCCGACAGCTCTGCGGGACCCCAGTCGGAGCTGGCCCGAGGAGGAGGAGGATCCTAGGACCCAGGTGAGCGAGCCCCGGGAATGCTGCTGCGCATGTGCGGGAGTTGCCTCACCCCGTTCGTATCTAGGGATCCCACGTAAGTTGGATCCACGTAAGTCGGGGACTGCCTGTACATGTGCTTCCAGAATATAAAGTAAAATTAGGATTTTTATCAGTATTGCATTGCTGCAGAGGAAATGTGCAGGAATAGCAACATGTATGGTTTCCCCCCAGGGGAGTTCCCATGGAAATATCAAAAATAGGGTAAGCATGGGGAAAATAAGGAATTTGTATGATAACGTGCATAATTTAACCTTCTGATAATGTGAGACTTAGAAGTATGTGTTATCCAGGAGCTTCTCATCTCTAAGATTGCTGGTTCAAATTTGGCTTTGGTCAATCAGACTATAATTTTCCTTCAGTTTTTCCTCTGGAAAATGGAGATTAATATGCTTGGCAGCCTTGGAAATTGAGTTGAATGGTGGCTTTCATTCTTCTCATCACATCATAGGTAAATCACACTAAACCGAGATGGTGTGAATAGATATGCAGTCACTGACCTGGTTCAAGCCCCATTATATCTGCTTGCTGAAAAATATGAAGGGTTCTCCAATAATGTTCAGGAGCTGCACTCTAATTGTCTTTGCCACTAGTCACAGGAAAAGGCTGTGTCTTCTACTGGCTTTTCTCTGCCCTGCTTAGAGCTCTTTATCTGCCTCTGGATAGTAGGTAAATGTTAAGCTCCAATAACCTCTTCCCAAACAGGTGGAGAGAAGAAAGGGCTTTCTCTCTGTTTGCCTCTCCAGCTTTTCCACAAAGCTTTCTGTTCCCAACTTGTTTGTCCCTCCTTCAGAGATGTTGGAGCTAGAGGAGAGAAAAGAGGTCTCTTCTGATCTACCCTTGCCCTAGCCTGTCTCTTATGGTCCTTCTCTGTAGTGAATAATTTGAGGGCTTGCCTCTGGTAGCAAGCATGACAAACCTAGAACAATTGCATAGTTAAATATAATGAAAACCATTTAATTTTTTTCTTAACTGTTCTGAGTAGCATCTGGGAAACTGGTGCTGTTTTGCTGAGCCTTTAGGAAGGCCACAATATTCTATTGTGCATTTGTTTTCATGTTTCAAGGGCTACTAGCAAATAAATGTAAAGGGTTGGTAAGTGTGCAAGTGGAATTCCTTTCAAGATGTCCTAAAACTGTCTTTTTCCAGAGTAACTACAGTATACTCAGTGTTTACGCTAAGCCGCACAGCTGCTTAATCAGCCCTCCCTGAGTCAGGCAGTTTCCTGTGCAGAGCCCTGAACCTCTAATTGGTCTGGGCTGATTTAAACAGCTGCTGGGCTGTGCTGCCTGCTGCACAGTTTAGGGCAGGACTGCTCAACTTTGGAAGGCCCGGGGGCCACAATGGTACGATACAGCACATGCCGAGGGTCGTAACTAAGTGTGGTGGCATATACATGCAAATATATATGCAAATAGCTTCTTTCACACTGGCGGGCATGAATACAAAGATTAAGGCCAAACTACACAACACACAGGCCCCATTTAAGTCTGTTCTGCTGATATTAATAAAATGCAATATTACCCAATTTCCACCCATATGACAGCACTTTTAATGAGCAATGACAGTCCAGGAATTTAACTACTAAAACACATATCAACAGAAGACCATTATATTGACTACATTTTTGTTTTGGCTTGCACTCGCGGGCCGCAAACATGCCGCATGCAGCACTCTCTGTATCAGAGCCCACAAAGCGGGGTAGCAGCTAGCTTCCTGGAAGCAGGGCCGGGAGTGGGAGCTGGTATATGCTGGGAGCTGGCTCCCACCTGCACAGCCCTGCTCTTGGGGAGCCAGCTCATGCTTCTTGTTAACCCTAGATACTAGTACATAACCCTTTGCTGTTTTAACTTTATAAGTTTCATAGTGGTACAGTCGTTTCCTAGGGTATGTCTAGACTACATGCCTCTGTCGCCATGTAGCAAAGGCTTCCCCAGCTGACGGATCCGCGTGTAGACTACTGTGCTGTGCCGGATCAGCTGATCGTCGGCACAGCGCGGCAGCCATGTTTATTTTAATGAGGAGGGGGATTATTTAAATCCCTGCTTCTTTGACTATGCCAGGTAAACTAGTTTACGTGGCTCCATTGATGGAGCCATGAAGACTAGACATGCCCTGAGTGTAATATGAAAAAACTTGAACTGCTGCTGTTTTCACTAGATTTATTTTGCAAATAAAAGCTTCAGTTTTTACACTTGCTAGCCAAGAGTTTTTTACCAGTCCTAAGTGCACCATGACACAAAGTGCTTATCTTTTCTTCTGTTTGTTCTTATGGAAATTTTGCCATTGCAGTAACATTCTTTGTGCACATTGCTCCTCTACAATTCTAGAAACTATAACTAGTTTCTATGGCCCTTGACTGGTTTAAAACTTATTTTTAAAATATCGAAGGCAAAATCTGGGAATCTCTCACCTACTCAAGTATTACTTTAAGCTTGTGAGAATCAGATGGATAGGAAATACATGTCCTGAAACTTGAATCTACTAAATATTTCTCATCAGACTTGTATGTCATCATTAAAGATTTTTTTTATGGATGGAACATTAATTTTAATAGTAGGTCACGTAAACTCTAACTTATGAAACTTACAATTAGAAGTAATTTTGACACTTGTATCAATACTTTTTATTTTCAGACCATCTTGTTTTGAAAGCTGCTGTCGCAATTCAGTAAACATTCAATAAGGAGAGAATGGGTAAGCTAATTTTTTAAATAAAATCTTTACTTTTTAAAAACATGACACATCTTGGGGTTTTTAGAGGGGTAACAGAATTGAATATGAAAGGGTTCTGAATTTTGGAGCTTTACCTAATGATTAATTTGCTTATGAGACTGTAAGCAAACTTGATTTTATGTGCTTGGAGCTGCCATCTGTCTCCATTCAAATGATTGCATGGGAGAGGCAGGGGACAGCTTTTTAATGTGGGCTTAGCTGGATTCAATTATTTTTATGAACATCAAGAAACACCTTTCCAGTAGTATTTCTTTTTTTGTACCTTGAGCTTTTGCATTAGTTGTAACTGATGGAGATTCCTCATATAAAAATTATTCAGCAATTATGTTTTGATAACCCTGAGAATAATCCACATTTCTCTAACTTATTGCAAGACATAATTGTTAAGGATTAATGATCTCTACAAGTGCAGTACATTTTTTAAACTTAATCTCTGTTTCCCTAACATTAGAAATCATTGATCTGTTTTTGGGTGAAGGAAGAAATGTCATGTAGTAATATTCATTGTTTAAATTCCAGTCTTCCAAAAGTATGTTGTTTTGTTTGTTTGTTTAAATTCATGGATTCTGCTGGAAGAAAGTGAATTTAATGCCAAGTCCTCCTTCTAATCATATCTGGACTTTTTCTTATTGTAGTGGCCCCAGATATTGAGGATTGTGTAAAAATTAAAATAAGAGCCTATTAATACAGCCCTCAAAATGGAATGTTGTGTAGAATATACAGTTCAATAACTAATCTTTAAAGTAACTTTAATGCTGTTTACTATACTTTATAAAAAAAATGTATATTTTTTTGGAAAAACACACATACTACTTGATAATACAGTCATTAATCCAATTTAAAATTAGAAGTTGTAAAGTGGTATTTTGCCTTTTTTCTTTTTTTCAAGTCTTAAAACTTATTTGCGTCTCTCTGCAATCTTATCTCTGGAACTATTTAGGGACACAAGTTGAAATGTAAATAATTGCTGGGGCATGAATGCAGGAGGAAGAAGAGTTTAAGATATTGTGCCTGCCAGTAAGCTCTCTGCCTAGTATTGCAGTAACACTTACTATTTAAATAATTGTTTTCCTGCTCCTGTGCCAAAGAGCCACATAAACTGAGGAAACTGTTCAAAGACCTGTCCAAAATAGAAAATAAACTGAAAATAACATTTTGTTCTTTCTGTTGCAGTCAACTTAAATTACTTACAATAATAAAGTAAATGTTCCTAAAATTGACTTTTTAAAATTTCTAGGCTTCCTTAAATGCATTAGTGCCAAAGACTATTATTCTGTATTTTACTGTCTTAGAAGCAACAGACAGTACTGTAGGAAGAGATGTTTCTTCTTCATTTGGCAAATTCTTAATTACTGTGTTCTATCTAATGTATTAACAACAGAAATGTGACTTTCTCTGATAATAAAACTTCAAGAGGAATGTTTAAGAGCTACTTTAGAACAAGCAGAAAATATAGTCTGATTTGAATTGTAGGGTTTATTTTATTGTATAAAGGGGAAAAAACGGAATGGACTTTTTTCTTTTTTTAGCAGGTCTGACGTTTTGACTCAGTGGTCGCGAACAAGGAAATGGGGGGGGGGGGGACAAATCAGTAACAGTATATTAAAATTAAGCTCTAAGCACAATACTGAAAACCTCAGACAGCAAAATTTAAGCTTTAAAATAAACAACTTCCTCATATTGTCCTCCACCCTTTCCTTTGCAACCTTGCATTTCTTTAATTGGTCTTCCAGAGATTAGCACACTGAGGCTTCATAGAAGCATAAGCTGTACTGGCTTTCTTCATGCTATGAAAGTGCTAACCAGATATTCTGAAAGTATAAGTTCATCTGTTTTTCTGTTATAGATGGAGAGGAGAAAACATATGGTGGGTGTGAGGGCCCTGATGCTATGTATGTGAAGTTGATATCTTCTGATGGTCATGAGTTTATTGTAAAAAGAGAGCATGCGTTAACATCAGGAACAATAAAAGCTATGTTGAGTGGTCCAGGTAGGTGCTATGAGTTTAGCAGCTTCTTGTAATTCAATCATTTCATTTTCCTATTTTGTGGAGTATTTTTAGATGTGTATAATCTGTTATAAAGTTGAATTTCTAGTATCAATAGTAACTTTTCCTAGTCTATATTGGTTTCTGTTTCTTCTTTGATAATTCAGGTTTATCAAGTCTTGTATTATCATTTATGTATTCATATGCTAAATATATGTAAAGTCTTTGCGTGTCGCCATAAGACAATTACTACTATTTTTCTGAAACAAAAGACAGAACTATGTAGCACTTTAAAGACTAACAAGATGGTTTATTAGGTGATGAGCTTTCGTGGGCCAGACCCACTTATGTTTCAGCTAGACCAGACTAACACGACTGCATCTCTATCACTATTCTACTATTTTTCTGAGGAAGTGATTTTCCCCCCCCCCCCCCCCCCCCATAACTTTAAATGGCATGTATGTGGGGGAGAGGTTCATTAAGTTAGTCAAAGACTCCATTTTAAAATCTTTCAGCTACTGATAAACAAAATTAATTGCTATGGTCCCCATGTTGAAATTCCCTTGACTATCACTATAGTGGGTACAATCTGAAACTTGGATTATGCACCAGATGTGCTGATTCTGCTCCACCCCTACTCAACCACTGGCCTCTGAAGAAGGCAACAGTACAGAGCCTAGTCAACTTTTAGGATTCTTTTTTGAATGATGGGAATGGCTGGAGCCTAATATTGTGAAGATGCTCAAAGCTCTACCCCGCTAGGCTAGCAGCCGAGTCAGGTTGCCTGTTTAGCTCCAGGAGGTGGGGAACTGGGGCAATCAGTCCTGGGTGCTGCAGGAGGAACTCTTTTCCCTTCCTCCAGAGGCCAGTGGAAGAGAGAAGAAACTCAGTAAGTGAAAGCTATTCTCATGGGATGGGACATGGGAGCTAAAGAGCTCAGCAACTCAGGGCAGCTTTGTTCCCTCCTCCCCTTTCCTTTTGGATGACTAATGGGGACAGAATAGCATCTCTGCTTTCCTCCACCTTCCCTCTCCCTGGGATGGGGTGTGGGGTGGTGAAGAGCCCTTGGAGCTGCCCTCCACAAGTGGACAGGGGACAGCACTTCAGCCCCCTGGGAAAAGAGGGTGAGAATCCCAGAAGGAGAGCAGAGGTGAGACTGGAGTAATGTGCTGATGTGGGGTTGAACAGAACTGATGAGGGACATGTGGCAACATGAATCTGGAGACTGGGAGCAGAACTAAGTGCTGACAGGGGGTGGACAAATGATGAGCTACTGCAGCAAGGGCAGCAATTATTATTATTCACCAATCTTGGGAGAGTGGGCAACATGGGGCTGGGCAGGAAAAGTTCAATAATAAAAAAGTACACTTTCTCAGGCTTTTGGGTTTTAATCTCCTGATTTTGGGGGGGGGTGGTCTTACTCATAATTTTTAATTGTTTGATTTTTGGTGTAGTTGCACAGCCTTCATTTTAATTTGTCATGGACTGTACAGGGGAGCTCAGGGCAGCGCACTATTCATGTGTGGAAAGATTCTAGTTGTCCTATAGGCATATTCAATGTGGAGATACAGCAAATGGTCTATGAATATGAACCTATATTAAAACTAGAAGGGGCCAAAACCAAAGTGGTACACCCAAATCATCTTAAATGTCAGGGACAAAGTGGCATTCAGACTTAAATTTGGGTATACAAAGTCACTTCATTACTGATTCTGAGCCTCATCCGAAACTACAAAGGGAGTTATATTAGCTAGTTACACCTATTTGATTATTAGTGATTATTTCTTCCAGAATAGCAAAAGTAATAAATACACTACATATGTCCATTTTGTTTTTTACAAATTGTATTATAGCATCAATTAGAAATTGAAGAGTATCTTCAAGGTTCAAATCTTTGAATTTAGCATTCTATCAAATCTTTTTAACAAAAACCCACCAAAAAAATTATTCTGAATACCATGAAAATAGGTGGGAAAATCTGCTGAATAATTTCTGCTGGAATATCCTGTGCAAGAGTCTGGTCCAGATGTGATGAAGTCTTCATCACAAGATGACAAAAAAACAAACCACCAACAACTTTCATTTGGCTGATTGTGATGTTTCTGGCTTTTCAGTGCCATTAGAAATTGGATTTTGATTTAACTAAACTCTGAATATATGTGATCATGGATCTCTCTGCTGGGTGCATTTGCATCCAACACATAGATATGAGAGTCTCTTAACCACCAGTTTTCTTTAGGGTCATGCATGCCCTTGCACAGTTCCACACCAAGACAGTACAAGGCAGAGGCATCCCAATTGCCACTCATTTCCTTTTTGCTGCCTGTGCTTGTGAGTAGTAATAGCTTAATTGTCTTCTAACCTACAGTACTCCCATCTTGCTACATTGTTCCGCTAATTACTGTACTCAGCTTTCTTTTTTAATACTACTTTGTGGTTGGTTTGGTTATGAGTCTGTTGGCAAAAAAATTCCAAAACTAGTTAGGGTGGGTTTTTTTTGTTAGCTATTTGCCATAGCACTACTGCTATCAACATGCCCATATTCCTGTTTTCGTTGGCTTTCCTGGCCTCCTGCGAATTCACTTCCTCCTTCCCTAAGCATTCCTGGTTTTAACCCTTACAGGCAAAGCAATTAGGGTTAGGTCCAAGAGCTAACTACCAAGAAAAAGACTTTAGCTAACTGAATGACTGTTACTTCGTCCCCTTCTGTTCCCCACAAGCTCTAAGTCTCCTTCTTGGCACTGCTCTACTTCTGGTACTATGTAAGGGGAAAAAAACAGGGAGTCTTCATTCCAGATGTCCGGCTAAATTTGCTGCTGTGAAGTCAGTGCCATTCAGGAACCAGAATCAATCCTTTACCATTCAAAGGCGACTTTTGCTGCACAACTTTTGGTACTATATTTAACAGTACCATCTCTGACATTTACTTTGATACATACAATGGAAAAATCTATGCAATCAACCTTGGTTTCCGGTATCATCAATCACTACAGGGGCTTCCTTCCCTAATCCAGGAACTCAGATTTTCTCCAGAACTAGAGTAATCACTTTTATTTATCTCTTAACATTCAATAGTTTGAAAATCTGCCTAAGTACCAATTTATGAAGAATTCTCTCTCTCCACCTGGGTTAAAGAAGATCTGTGACCCCCTCATCATTTTTCAGTGACTGCTCCCTCTCCCCTCCCCCATAAGGGGAACAGCATCAACTATTGAAGAATTCTATTCATCCCATCATTTTTCTTCCAGTAAGAAACCTTCTCCAGGATCAGCACCATTTCTGTTAATGATTCAAGAGGCTCAGATCATGAAAGGAGAGCATATTACATGCTTCTTTCTGTGGAGGCCAATCTCTAACTATACCTCCTGTGGCTTGGATGCCACTTTCTTGGCACAGTATCCCTTTTAGCTTCCAAACCTGATTGCAGAGTCTAAGAAGACCAGTACAGTCTTGGTATCAAGACCACTTTAATCTTCTCTTTCTGAATCAAGAAACACTGCTCCATGGACCTTTCCACTTGCTTCAAAAGGAAAAGGTTATTTCAGAGGAGCAGTAACTGGGGAGTGAAGATGATACCAATCCTCAAGATAATCCTTCAGTGCTCTCAATTTATTATCCTCATCAGATGATAGAGTGGCTACATAAGTGCTTGTGAAGACAGATGATTTTCAGGGTATTTCAAGACCTCAAGAGGACGGAGGAGACCCTTGGAATCTTAAAAGTAGCTGAAGAAGAGTCTTACAAACTGTTTTGATACTCTGTGGCCAGTATTGTGGTGTTGAGTTGCTACGTCCATAAATGCAAGCATTTTTATCTACCCGAGGACTGTGTGGGTTACCCCAGATGTGATCGAAAGCACCTCTGTATTCACACTATATTTTAGTTATCTTTGTATAAAATATCCTTTTTGAAGTATTTAAAATCTAATAACTTGTAAGTTATGAATTTCTCCTGATTGAACAGGTGCTAATAAACACAGCCTTAACTAGGCAACAATTGTTAAACAGGTCTATCCTAATCAAAGAATGTATTTACTTCAGTTTATATTGAACAGGGTCCTTGAAGCCGAACTGGGGAAATGTCAGAAGATAAGGCAAATTTACATTTCAGCATATACAGAGGAGAATAAAAGCATAAAGCCTCCTTCACCACCTGTCTCCTTTTATTATTTGAATAAACTTTGCTTTGAGGGGGTGTCACATAATTGGATTTCAAGGTGAACAGACATTGTGTGTTTGCCCCCAAATTCTGTTCAGAGTGGGTTATGTGAGGTATCTAATGAAAGCTTGTTATGCTAATTCTGTCTATGCTACTCATATACTTGTATGATTTTTGTATGTCAAGTTATGAATATGGGCTCTGTATTTACATGTTCAATGTTTTCTATCTGGGAGACAGCGGCAGACGTCACCCACCTATTGTGAGGAGTGGTGGCCCAGTAAATGCTGCATGGCTAATGGCTCTTTAAGGGTACGTCTAGACTACACGCCTCTGTCGCCAGAGGCATGTAGATTAGGCTACCAGACATAGGAAAATGAAGCGGCGATTTAAATAATCGCCGCTTCATTTAAATTTACATGGCTGCCGCGCTGAGCCAACAAACA